CCGTCTCAAAAAAAAAAAAAAAAAAAAAAAAAATAGGGATACTAAGTAGATTAAATTAGATCATATAGAAAGCAATTAGAACGATGCCTGGCACATGGAAAATGCTCAATATATTTTAGTTCTTATTTACTAAGAGCTGCTCTTTCAATAGCTACATGTTTAAAGTAAAGCAGGCCTCTTTCTGGCTATCTCCTGTTGCTGTCATAGCCCTGTCTTCTCATTCTTCACTTCTTTCTCCTAGGCTTTTCTTCTTTTCCTTCCTCTTCCTGTTGTTATAAATTATCCTGCATCTCTCCCTTCTCTTAAGTAACTATTCTTTTGCCATTTCCTGCCGCAGCCACTATCAAGACAATGCATGAGCCTCACCCTTACCCAGAGCCACTGCCACACCCTGGGCCTGCTGCCATTTCAACCAACCCAGATCAGGCTCCCAGTCAGATCAGCTACTCAGCTGGAGAAGCACTGTCATGGTGGCATATGGCTCAGGAGTCCCAGAAATGACTCACCCCAGAGTCTGAGCGACTTGCTCATGAGCTCCTGAGTAATTGCCAGTCTGGAGACACTACGAGGACTGAAGCACTATTATACCTTTGTGGCAGTTTGTGTTTGTTTTTCAGTACTCAACTCCATCCTCAAGCCTCAGAACAAAATCACTGGCATTAGGGAAAGGAAGAGAAATAGGATTGTCAAGGTACAGAGAAGATGCTATATAAATATTTATTAAGTTAATGAATGGGTCCAGGCACGGTGGCTGAAGCCTATAATACTTTGGGAGGCGGAAGTTGGAGGCTCACTTGAGCTTAGGAGTTCTAGACAAACCTGGGCAACATAGCAAGACCTTGTCTCTACTAAAAGGTTTTAAAATTAGCCAGGCGTGGTGGCACATATCTGTAATCCCAGCTACTCAGGAGGCTGAGGGGGAGGATCACTTGAGCCCTAGAAGTCAAGGTTGCAGTGAGCCATGATTGCACCACTACACTCCAGACTGGATGACAGAGTGACAACCTGTCTCAAAAAAAAAAAAAAAAAAAAAGCATTGATGAAGCAGTAAAAAGTATGTTTTTTTTATTTTATGTATTTATTTATTTTTGGGATGGAGTCTTACCCTGCCGCTCAGGCTGGAGTGCAGTGGAACGATCTCAGCTCACTGCAACCTCCTACTTCAGGGTTCAAGTGATTCTCTTGCCTCAGCTTCCCAAGCAGCTGGGATTACAAGCACCCGCCATCATGCCCAGCTAATTTTTGTATTTTTGTCGAGAGGGTTTCACCATGTTGGCCAGGATGGTCTTGAACTCCTGAATTGAGGTGATCCATCCGCCTCAGCCTCCCAAAGTGCTGGGAATACAGGCGTGAGCCACCGTGCCCAGCCAAAAGTATGTTTTAATAAATCTTTATTTTTATTTTATTTTTTCATTTGTTTATTTTTGAGACAGAGTCTCACTCTCTTGCCCAGGCTGGAGTGCAGTGTTGTGATCTCGGCTCACTGCAACCTCTGCCTCCTGGGTTCACGCAATTCTGCCTCAGACTCCCGAGTAGCTGAGATTACAGGCACGTGCCACCATGCTTGGCTAATTTTTGTATTTTTAGTAGAGAAAGGGTTTTACTATATTTGCCAGTCTGGTCTTGAACTCCTGAGCTCAGGTGATCTGCCTGCCTCAGCCTCCCAAAGTGCTGGGATTACAGGTGTGAGCCACTGTACCCTGCCTGTTTTAATAAATCTTGATCCCAGTGTACACATCTTTTAAGTACTCTGTGTGGTGAAATGGGAAATGCAGTACAAAGCACTTGAGCTATTGAATTGTGAGTTAAACTAGCTGCTTTCTTTCAAGGAACACCATTGAAATCATCTATCTATCTATCTATCTATCTATCTATCTATTTTTAGAGACAAGGTCTTGTTCTATTGCCCAAACTGGAGTGCAGTAATGCAATCCAGCAATCATAGCTCACTGCAGCCTCAACTTCCTCCCAGGCTCAAATGATCCTCCACCTCAGCTTCCCAAGCAGCTGGGGCTATAGGCACACACCACCATACCCAGCTCATTTTAAAATTTTTTGTAGAGGTGGGGTCTCACCATGTTGCCCAGGCTGGTCTCTAACTCCTGGGCTAAAGTGATCCTCCCACCGCGGCCTCCAAAAGTGTTAGGATTGCAGGCATGAGCCACTGCACCCAGGAAGACTTATTTTTTCTTCCTATAGGAATCTTTTCTCCCTGTTACCTTTCCCCTATTAACTTAGGTGTATAAGCCCCAAATTCTAACTACTCTTTTGAGTTACTCACCACTGAACACACCCATGTGTGTGCATGTAAATAAACTTTGTTTTGTTTTTTCTTAAAGGCTGGTCAAGTGAAACAGTGGGAGTGGAAAAGGAACAAAAAATATCTGTAACTGCTTATCAATTAGTTGTAAATACCACTGCATTCCGACCAGCCAATTAAATATTTCTTTTCTCTTGCTAATCTGTCTTCTGTCAGTTTAATTCGCAGGCCTCAGATACTGAATTTAAGAGGGTAAAGGAAAAGTTTCTCCTTTACTACAATAATAGGACAAGGAAAGGGTTCAATGAACAACCTTTCATGTTTCCCACTGAGAAATAAAAATAACATTTTATCCTAGCTGGACGTGGTGGCTCACGCCTGTAATCCCAGGACTTCGGGAAGCCGAGGTGGTTGGATCAACTGAGTTCAGGAGTTTGAGACCAGCCTGACCAACAGTGAAACTCCATGTCTACTAAAAATACAAAAATTAGCTGGGTGGGGTGGTGGACACCTGTAATCCCAGCTACTC